ATAGGGTAGAATAATGGCAGTTTTTTTTTCTGTTATTTACCTATTATTCACCCTTTATTTATTCGTTCGACCTGTGATTGGTACTAAATCTCTCATTAATTATATTCACAATATTATTCCAAAAACTCACCCTACTACTTCCAGGAATATTGTGATACTCAGCATTTCTATTTCTTCTTTCAGCAATTAATAAGTGCAATTGATCGTTGGTCCACATTACTAAGATTCTAATGTGACTCAACCGCGATACATCTGTTTTTTATAGAATTATATAGAAAAAAAATACTGCAACTCAACCGCGACTCAACAGTGATTAGTATCATTAGCTGACACAACCAAATTAATCATCAGATAATCATAGTATAGCATCCTAAAGAAGTATGATTTTTATCACATCTCGGACCAGATGATCCAAAATAAAAAATTTCATATGGAATAGAAATCAAAAGGGGGAGGTAAGTGGTTAGAATTACATTAAAAATTTATTAATATATGCACATTAAACAATGATCCAAAGGGTCGAGTCTCTGATTTTTTGTAACATATAATGTAATATATAAAAATCAGATAAGTATAAAACTAATTTTGGGTTTGGTGATCAATTCATTCACGAATTAATTAGTATGAACTGGGAGAGTCAAAGACTCGATCCAAAGGATCATCATCCAATCTTCTGTTGCTCTTGATTTTATAGACTTCTTCGATTTTCTTCTTTGGTATGACATGTGATATGTATTACAAAGTAATGGCACTTATGTGTCTGATCGAACATCTGTATTATGTAATCAATTTTATTACTAGACATATCAAAAATTTCTTGGTATTTTTTATTGTATTAATAAAACAATTAGGCCTAAATGGTCATAGCCATATAGTACAAAGTTTTTAATACATGCTGATGATATTGTAAATATAAAAACCTAACTAATGGATTCTACTATAATATGAATATGTCCCATTACAGGCTTTTTATCAAAATAATCACTAACTTTATCTTGCAATTTTATGTCTTTATATGTTTTGGCTTTGGGATCGGATACTCGAATATTAAAAGAAACATTTTTAAACTCTTCTGGAAAGTGCCACTAAATTTTCGCTTTTACATAATTGATAGATTCTTTTTCAAATATGACAAGACCATACCTAAGATAGCTGGCTGGAAATCCGAAAAATCCATGGATAGGGATAACAAAAAACTCAATATTAAATTGTTTGCCCTTGTTTCCCAAATCCACAAGAGGATCATAATCCTAAGTAACACATTATTAGTAAAGACTGAGTATGAAATATATGAAAGAGTTTTACTATATCATATACCTACTATTTTTTCTTTTTCTTCTGATATGAATAAAATGAAGGCATAATTTCACTTATATATATATATGTTTTGAGTTGGGGATTCGTATCTTTGCTATCACATATACATTATTTTGGATCATCAGGTCTGAGATATACAATTCCGCAATGGACAATTCTGATATCTACACATGCTGAAGAAATTAGTAAAGAAATGATTTACAAAGCCATTCTTTACTATTTTGGGAAAGCACTCAAGGAATGGTTCAATCACTACAAAAAACAATCCTAAACATACGGCTCAAAGGTTAGTTAATAATGAGGTTACTGCTATAAAGCTCTGAATTCGCTTGATCTTATTGACCCTAATCTCATTAAATAAATCATAAATCTTTTGGGCCCGCTCTTTCGTTTTTCAAAGCAAACTCTGGCTAACCAATGGAAGTTGAATTCTAACCTCCATAACAACTCTCAAAATACTGGAGCACAAATCAAGAAGTGTATGAAGCAGCAGCAAGAAGACAAGGTTGAATAGTTTATTGAACAGACTAAGATGAGAGATATATTTCCCATTTCCTCTTTTATTTACTATGCTAACCCACCCCTATTACTAATTACCAATACGATTCTATCTTAATGACTTCATTTTTCATGCAACGATAATACTAACATTCTTATGACTACATATTTTATGCAGTGATAATACTGATTATTAATCTAACTACACATAATAGATAACACTAATAATGAAAGTACTTCTATGTGCTCAACATTTTAATTATTGTATGCTGAGTTGTCTTTTGTATCGCTGGTTATTATTATTTTTGGCAAAAGTGATCAGCATAACAATTTGTCATGCATACATGATTTTTATTCACATGAGAAAAAATATCTCAGATTGTCATATCTCCTAATATATCTGCAATAGGTTCATTATATATTTCACTCACAAATATAGTGAATATACAAAACTTATCTAATAACCCAATTTGCACAAAAAATGAATTGCGATATTCATTAGTATATAGTTATTAAATCAAATAGATCTAAATCTCTAAATACAATATAAATCAGATAATCTCTAAAAACATAATAATACATTAAATTACTTAATCATTAAATATGGTCTATACAGATAATTGTCCAGTTTTAAATGATATCGAGTGGAGGGATAACTGCCAATTTCCAGTAATTCGTGATGGAGAAACACCATCTAATTGGAAGAACCAAATCTAAAATCAATTAGTGAATTATAGAAATAACAATAAATTGACTGATTACAATAAGTGATATCTTATTGCCAGAAAGATGGAATCTACAGAAGGATTCAGTTATCGTATGGTGGTTAAAGTAAATATTGCTATATGTTATAGCTGTGATCAGTTTGTTTATATTGATAAAAGAGTAGGATATGAATTATATCACAATTATAAGATGGAGAAACATTGGCATACAAATTGTACTGAAAATAGACATTGTGATATATGTTTCAAAGAGTATATGGAGCTTAAACAAAAACCA